CCCTTATTTTAAGTGTTTCTAAAATCCCCTATGGGAAAATGAATGGTGGAAAAACTATTGGAACCATTCCCTGTTTGACTGCTAGGTTTTATGAGTATTATGACACCTCCACTGTGGGGCTCTACTAGCCAATCGGCGTTTCTCAACGAGTTCAGAGCACGTGAACGCATTCAACTCGTATTTACGACTTCACAACTGGTAATTTCCACCTTCCCACTTGGTTATGAACGCAGCATAAGCACTCCCCCAGACACAACGAATCATAGTCAATACATACATACACACAGGCACACACTTACGTCATAGACATTCCTACTCCCCACAGTTTGCAGTCTTTCTCTGTCCCATGCATGCAGCTCTGAATCGTATTCAAGTCATTCAAACCTGCTGATTGGCTAATAATGTGATTGGCTAATAATGTGCCAAAGCCTATCAGAGGCAGGGAAGGAGGACACGAGATTAGCACTAGATGAGCACTCAGATACCATTACATTTATGTTTGTTTTATTGCAGCTGGACCCACTGCTCTCATCTCCAGCTCTGCCAACTTGTTAGGTATAGATCTGCATGGTTCCAACCAATTATTTCTTAAAGTAACAGTGTTTTGCCTGCTGCTATTTAAAGATGCAGTGCTCTAGAGACTGACTCAATCAAACCTGTCTTAGACATGTTTATGCTGTATCTTTGTTTACAAACTACTGCCAGGCCATGTATGTCTTGTTTTCTGAAAATGTTTGAATGTGAGGGGAGTTCAGTATTCACTGGACCACAAACTGTCACAGATGGCAAAGGCTACCCAAACCTTGATACTTAGTAAAAATACAAAACCACTGCATCAATTGGCTACATTGTATACTGTGTGCTAAATAATACCCTGAAGGCTGACACCATTATTAAAAAGGATGACTGTTTTTCCCCCTATAATCATCAGATAGAAAAGGAAACAGTAATCTTATATCGATGGTTGAACATGTAGATTCTTCACTTTTAGCCATCCATTGGTGGAAATTACTTAACAGTGCAACTTGGTCCTTTTAGGCTGCTTTGCTGTAGAGGAGACCGGATTGGTCAAAGATCCTGAAATGATTATCCAACCTGCCTTTCCCAATGCCAACCAAATAGAGGGGGTAATATTGACTCTTATAAGGAGAAGACAACTTCTGTGTTTACCTAATTCTTTTTTACACTCCCCGAAGAGAATTCAAATCCAGACACGTGGTGGGAATTCAAAATAAAATGGCAGATAAGGCTGTTTCCAGCCAAACATCTGCGGTAGAGGCTATCTTACGAATGATGTGGCAAACATGATAATTAAGCTACCTCAAAGTATATTTCTCAACAAGCTCTCACAGTCTTCATCCACGTTCTCCAAACGTCACATTTCAATGTTGCTCCAAACATCACATTTAGAAGTGTTTTTGTTGCTCCTGCTGCTCTGTATGTTCCATTTCTCCAAATTTCGAAGTTAAGGGTTAACAGAAAATTCCACCCAAAAACTATATTTTGGTATTTGTTTCATTAGTCCATTGTTGGTATAGTCCCAAAATATTTTGAATGTCAGCACGTTTTCAAGAGATATATATTTTTAAATACAGAAATGCAGCTGGCACAGCTATATCTTGAAAACTTCATTGCTTACATGACTGCTAACATGCAAAACATTTTTGGACTATATTAACAATGGACTAAAGAAACAAATACCAAAAGATAGTTTTGGGGTGGAGTTTTCCTTTAAGTTTAGGCACTCATTCTGAATGGTTAAGGTAAGGGTTAAGGTTTGGGATAGGGTTAAAATAACAAATATTTTAAAAACAGTGTCAAACATCCAACTTTCTGATCCAGAGTCATCAGATTAATCGAACACGACTGGGTTTGGGATAGGGTTAAAACCATAAATAAAAAACCAGTGTTCACGACTGGGATCGAGCACACAACCTACTGATCCAGAGTCATAGGATTAATGAAAATCAGTGTCCACAACTAGGATTGACTATGCAACCTTAGGATCCAGACTCATTGGATAACACCCATCCACCACCCTGTCCAATTGATGGTAATAGTGCTCACTGTTGCCCCCAGTGGCCGGTTTTGAAGGCATTTCCTGACTTCCTCAGGACATAGATAAATGTCCAATTTCGAAATGTTGATGTTTGGCATCAATTTACAGGACATAGATAGATGTCCAATTTCGAGATTTAGATGTTTGGCATAAATTTATGCGAAAATTACGAAATGACAAAACAGATGGATGATTCTTACTGGTAATAGTTTGTATTTTATTTATCAATGTATTCTATTTTGAATATCGAAACATTGTCAACAATAATATATTTTCTATTTCAGCCGGTTTGATTTATGTTCTGTTTTGAACAGAATAATGTGACCAACAAAACGGATTAGTAATATGAATTTGCTCATGATAACAACAGCAATAACAACAATAATCATAATCATAATAATATATGTTTGTATTCGTTGACAATATAATGCAGGCATAGCAAATAGAATCAGTAGGCTAAACGGAGATAAATGTGTGGCCTACAAGACTGTTGATGTTGAAACTCTGTATGGGCAAAGCAACACTTGTTATCATGAAATTCAAATTACTCAGTTACAATAGGCCACATAACCGTTCAGCTGGCTACAGTATTAGGTGAATGACTCTTCTGACTTTCCTCGGATACTCATTGCCACACTACTGAAATAAAATACCCTATTAAGAACTACTGAGACAGACGGGGTGGGAGGGGTGTTGAAAATGTTGGAGATATAAAGAGAAGGGGGAATATGATTCGTGTCCCTTTAAGGATGTTTCGCCGCTAAACTATGGCAACATGAGCTCTGCTGCATATAGAACATCACTCTTCGATTATTTGTGCTGGTGTATTCCGATACCCTCGAGCCTGTTGTTGATTGGGCACCACATGTGGATACTCCACGTCAATTGGACTGCACTCACTAATTTTCAAACGTTTAAAAAAAAGAAACACTTTGAAGTTTCACAATTAAGATTGTGCTGATGAAGAGAAAACCCTAGTTTGAAATGCATGTCAGATGAAAAGACTCACATTTCGAAATAGGCTATGTCACACTATTTGTTGTTGTTGTTTTACATTACATTTACAACATTGCATTACTTTTCGATATTTTCATCCTAAATATTAATATTTCACTAACTAAATAAATGATGTTTTCATATAACAGGTCTACAATTAATATATTGTTATAGGCAATTTCAATCCAATTAATCATATAGAGCACCTTTAGTGGTGGTTTGGTAACCTCTAAAACAGCTATGGTGCCCTCTCACCTGTATCACCTAGTAGTTGTTGTTCTCTGTTGAACCATGGACACAAACTGAAATAGGCCTATGAGGTAGCCTATAATTGAAGATAGCAACCAATATTGCCATGATTTGAAAAATGGGTTGTGATGGGTATTCATCCCAGAATAAGTTAGTGCTATGGTTATGGAGACCAAGTAGGATTTATTTCGTTATTGACCACACAGGCACATCCTTTTACAAGTCAAATTATTCTATATGGAGACATTATCGAGGCACTCGATTATGAACACAAATCTGTGTCATGAGGAGGATTTACGTCCATTAAAATTACGTCCATTAACAACAAAGGGCGCAGTTCATCGCACGAGGGAAAGTCGCTCAGCCCGCGCGCGTCAGTCGCTGCGAGACGGGTTTTGTGATAAATGGAGAGATATCAAAACACGTCATTAGAGAGCACAGCTTTACTGAGCGCTTTCACACTGCCGGGGCGCTCCGGGTAGAATACCCCAGAGACAGCTCTCTTCTCTCGGCCTTTTGTGTTTCTGAGCTGGACCGATGCATGCGTTTTAGATAATGTTCAGCTATTATAGCCTACATGTATTTCCATGAAAATCCTAGATATAAATCAAGGAACATTTTCCACCACTTGCAGCCTAATTGTATTGATTATCAATGTATTTTATTTTAGGATAAATCCAGTTTAACATTTAGAGCACTCCCAGAGGTGCTTGAATGATATGAATTATGAACAAAATGTGTAGGCCTACATGTCTCATTCACTGAGATCTGTTCAGTTGGATTAGCAGTATATGCCCCTATACTATAGCGTACATTTACGGTGTAATGTTAGTCTACTTTCTATCACATTTCTATGCATACAAAACAACTAATAATAGATGCATTTCATCGTGAATATTTGTTCACTAGTTTATGAGATAGTATCATCAACGAAGTCAAATAATTTGTAATTTACCTCTGCTCTCCAAAACGTCATTAGATTATCATTAAGGAAATTATATTTATAATCATTGGCATGCGATTTATTAGCAATATTTCAAAGTAATTTACAATCTCAGAAAATGTGTGGACTGGGGCCTCATTCCAAGTATTGTCACACGATTCACACCTGCAAAACAAAAATAATTAGGTTTCATACTTAGTTAAGCTAATTCTCCCTCTCGAGAAATGACATGCGTAGCCTAATTGTACTCGAATCATGGACCACGGTTATAGACATTATCTAATAGGCTACATCATCACTAGCCTACTGCAAATGTTTTCCACTTAAAAAAAAAATACACAATAGTGTATTCTTTTATCAATGTAGGGTGAGTCGTTTATATCTGATAATGTTGTTAGACCGCCTATGTGCTTTAAATTCTTAGTTGTCAACTCAAACAAATAACAACACCAGGAGGAGCAAACCCAGCAACTCCGTATTCATATCTCTAAATCACGTTAATGAAATTATCGCCGAATTAATTAATAGCCTACAGATTTCCCACTCATTTCACCGTAAGGTACCGTAGGCATTTTAATGACCCCTAATTCAATTAACTGCCTCCGTGGAAGCATTGATTTCTGGAAAAGCTGCTGAAAGTTGAATTCAGATAAGTCGAGCAGCCCATAATTGCCCAAGACGCAGAGGTGGGGGCTGGGCTGAGGTGGCGGTGTATAAATAGTGTGCTCTCAAAAACACAGTCATAACAGCAGGAGTGATCTCACCTCTTCTCCACCCCCCAATATCGCTGCCTTTTACGACCGAGCGCGCGAAGAGCTGACAACTAACGTTATATAGGTCATTTTAAAGTGGGGTTCCGTGCTCAGGACCACTGAACGGCCATGGAAGAACTTACGGCGTTCGTCTCGAAATCTTTCGACCAGAAAACCAAGGAGAGCAGTAAGGAGAGTATCACGTACAGGGAAGTTTTGGAGAGTGGCTTGGCGCGGGCGAGGGAGCTGGGGAACTCGGAGACAAGTCTACAGGACATAACGGAAGGCAGCAACCACTGTCCGGTACATCTATTCAAGGAGCACGTAGAGCTTGAGAAAGAAAAACTCAAGGAGTTTAACGTTTCAAGGGCCACGGAAGGTACGTTTTTATCCACCCGTTCGAGTTGTGTAGCGTGAATGTCCTAGATGCATTGCATTGCATTCTTACACGAACCAAGCCCTTGGTTTTCACGATTACTTTCGGTGCACCGATTGTAAAAGTACATCAATATGTGGTGGCCAAAACATTTACAAGGTCAAAACTATAAGGAAGACTTTTCAATTATTGCAGTAACTGTTTAGATTTTTTCGTAAGCACACGTCGTTATAATGTGCAGATTCTTCGAAACACTTTCTCTATAATAGGCCTACTGGCATGTCGTTTGCAGTGAAAAGCAGTGGTCCAAACGAATGTAGCCTAGATAATATCAATATTCTCTCACTCCTGTCGACCATTGTATTTATTAACAAATCATATCGTTGAATAATATCGTATTGATGGCGATTATATGCATAATGATAGGCCTAATTCGATGTTTCCACTGTACAATTAATAGGAGTGGTACTTGCATCAGCATGCAGTAGCTTATACTTTATATTTTAAACTATCGTTCATTGGACCATACATTGTTATTTGGACAGTGTTAACCTATATGAAGTTGTTCTTGCTCGCATTTTCATGACATAACAGAAATTAAAAAACGTTCATACACAAAATTAACCCGTGCACCTCGAAGTTGGATGTATGCTCTTGCACTGTAATATCAGTGTTAGGACGTTTACGTTGTTGTATAGCACACAATAGGTCCGTCTAATGATGATGGAAAACAATTGTTACAGACAATGCACAAGGTGTTGATAGTAATAATGACTTTAGCCCCGGCAATAATATTTTGATAATCTTAAACATATTATATATGCCTATTTGAAAATAACTGTATTTTACGCAACACTTTAACCTTGTGAAATATTTTATAGATTCGAAGTTAAGCTATTTATTAGGTTTGTAATGATCAACTACCGTGGAAATAGTTTGCTGTATGATAGGCTTATTATACCAACCATTGAAATAACCCGATAAATAACTTGTATATAGGCTTACTATTTTATATATAAAAGTTTTATAATGTACTGTATTTGATAAAACAATTAACAATATAAAACACGTACCATTTTCCAAAATAAAAATCACATGAATAAACTACAATTGTTTGGTATCACAGTGCTCAGTTTCAAATTGTCCAGTGAAAATTGTGGCGTTTTCAGGTGGTCATTCCTTCCAATGAAGGATCCATGTGCAGACTGTAGGCAAATACCACTAAGGAAATTATAAGGCCTAATAGTGACATGATTTTATGGTCGAAGATATCAATATGTATGTATGTGAATAATTGTCATTATAGTAAACCCACGGTGCCATAGCCTGCATTTTGGTTTGTAAGTTTGCAGGCTTGTATTTTGACCAATAGAGATCGAAGTTGTTAATCATGTTCTGTTTGCTGTCTCTGGCTGGCTACCATAACACATACTATGGATTCCACCAAATTAATATAAGCTACACTATAGACACGGACGTGTGTGTTTGTGTGTGTGTGTGTGTGTGTGTGTATGTGTGTGTGTAAAGCCAAGCTGTAGTTGCAGGTGTGTAAGAGTTTTTTGTGTTTAATCTAGAGATGTACTGTCTTTTGAAAACGTTGTATGTATTCACGCAGGGATATATGAGTGTAAAGAGAAGAAGGAGGACGTAAAGTCTGAGGATGAGGACGCACAGAGCAAACTGAAGCAGCGGCGGAGCAGGACAAACTTTACCCTGGAACAGCTCAACGAGCTGGAGCGCCTGTTCGACGAGACGCACTACCCCGACGCCTTCATGCGGGAAGAGCTGAGCCAGAGGCTGGGACTGTCAGAGGCGAGAGTACAGGTAACACCCGGAAGTGAAAAGCATAACCCTAAAGCTTTTGGACAAAACCCTAGATAGGCCTGTCCCTAAATTGCATACGTTTTTATTTTATTTTATTTTATTCAAATGTGGGTCTAAATAGGTTGAGCTTTTAAGCGCAAAGCATCAAGGATTGTTCTGAAAACAACGTGTGAGAGGTTGCTAGATTGAGACGTCCAGTGACAGAGGCTGGGGTCATAGTGTGTGACGCAGGAAGATTACTGTAATTCGTGATGCGGAATAAGATGGACAAAATGGATGTAAGGCCTAAATCAGTAATGATGTATGTTCACAAATGAAACACGTTTCAGAAGGCTATAGAGCCAACACTTGCAAGGCAGTAGCCTACAAACCATATTGATAAGGGTGCCGTTTAAAAACTACGTGGCTATAAAAAAAATGTTTTTAGATAGCCTACATTTACTAAAACAATGTATGTTGTCCTATTGGCAAAGGGAAATATTTTGAAATAAATCAAATTGTTAACCGGTCAGTTTTGGGGTAGAATCGTCGTGGAACAGCGTCTTTTTTTTATTTTAACACAAGTTTAAACACGTTTAGGTGCAAGCTTTGGCATGTATCTATTATATTATGTGCACGTGTAAAACAATGAAAATATTCAGGAATAATTTAAAACAGTAACGTCAAAATAAGATGGCGCTGAGGCTTACGTTTTTATATAATTTATTCACCCGTTTGATAAAACATCAATGGTTATGTTTAATTTTCATGAGCTATGTAGGCCTAATATTCTTTTGGTCCGACCTGCCTGTTGTCAAGGCTCAGTTATACCGAGATGTTACACACTCCAGAGAGTGTGATGCAATGAGACAAACATATCATGCAATATTAGATGCAACAAACTGTGCAGATATGACTGTGTCGACATGGTTAAAAGCCACACGAGTTTATTTATTGGATCGATATTATACATATTGACCTCACGACCTCGGTGAGATTTGTTTGACAATATTTCTAAATTAACTTTAGGTATTAAGTGCAATAATAGTGCAACAACAATACTACTACTACTACTACTACTACTACTACTACTACTGCTACTGCTACTACTACTACTACTACTACTGCTAATAATAATAAGTAAGCCTACTGGTTACTGTTCATTTGTTGTTTAAAAAAATTGCCATAAAACACTATCCATTATCAAAGAAATGTATATCATGATAACATTGGTCTATTTTTTACATGACCAAAATACTGTTGCTTTTAAACAAATAAAATGACGCCTATAGCCTTTGCCACATCATAGTTGCTCAAGTGGCATTGGATTAATCTGAATCCGTCTTCTTTCTCCTGGCAGATTATTGTAGAAGAAAAGTTGCTTATGTGCTTCGGAAAGATCTTACCACATCATTAAAATTAATGAAGAGATTGTACGAGTGCTTCAGGGGACACCATCGTATGTCAGTCACCTCATTTCCCCCCGCGTTGTCTTTGTAATATCTGCCATTGGCTTGATATATTGCTCCCATAAAAATGGATTAGAAATAATTCAATTCTGCTGGAACTCAGTCGGTGGGACACCTCGTGTTCCGAGATCTAATCGGAGGACTAAGTAGCCTAATATTAGAAGTCTACACCGTGTGACAGCTTGCAAGCGCGACATAAAAAAAAGTAATTTTAAACATGGCCAAAATCAAATTGTGGTATAACAGGGGGTTAGCATTTACCTGTTAAAACGCAATGGGATAAATATTTACTCAATATTTACAACAATAACACACACTATCCACGCATATAGACTGAAATGGGCCGTGAGGGTTAAAATCACACACTATTAAAATCCATGTCGCAGCCGACCGTTTTTCGATTTGAAACCCCCAAATCTATCAAAAGTAAATTGTAAGGCATGTGGTAGAAAGAAGAGTATTAACCTGCACTTAGGCGTCGGAACAGAAGCCCCACGTCGCGCGCAGCTGAGGAATCTAATTGAAAGTTATGAGCGCTTGGTGAGCAGCGTGCAGTAATTCGATTACGACTAATATATTTGGGTTTCTGGTACAGAGCTAAATTAAATGTCATTATTCACTGTCTCTAATAAAAATCTAAAGGAAACGAGATTAGGGTGTTTGTATAGCGCATCATTGAGTGGTCCTTAATGAAGAAATAACTGTCGCAACCAGTGTAGTTCACTTTGCTTAGCATTCTGGCACGTAATATATATAGCTGTAATATATATATATATATATATATATATATATATATATATATATGTTTTATTTTATTTTGTGTCAATACAGACCTTTAAGAGACAAGAACATAATTGATTAAAAAGTAAACTAATTAAATACACCTTATGATATAACCTAAATCAATGAAATAATACAATTAGCAGTAGCCTATAAGAATAATGATATAGCCATACAGGCTTAATAATAGGTATATCTCACTGGTCATCCCCAAAGCCAACACCTCATTTGGCAGCCATTCCTTCCAGTTCTCTGCTGCAAATGACTGGAACAAATTGCAAAAATCTCTGAAGCTGGAGACACTTATCTCCCTCACTAACTTTAAGCATCAGTTGTCAGAGCAGCTTACCGATCACTGCACCTGTACACAATCCATCTTTAATTAGCCCACCCAACTACCTCATCCCCATATTGTTATTTACATTGTTATTTATTTTGCTCATTTGCACCCCTGTATCTCTATTTGCACATCATCTTCTGCACATCTATCACTCCAGTGTTAATACTAAATTGTAATTATTTTGCACTATGGCCTATTTATTGCCTTACCTCCATAACTTACTACATTTGCACACACTGTATATAGATTTTCTATTGTGTTATTGACTGTACATTTTGTTTATTCCATATGTAACTCTGTGTTGTTGTTGTTTTTATCGCACTGCTTTGCTTTATATTGGCCAGGTCGCAGTTGTAGATGAGAACTTGTTCTCAACTGGCTTACCTGGTTAAATAAAGGTGAAAAAAATAAATAATAATAATAATAATAATAACAATACTACTAATAATAGGAAAGGCTAATAATAGGCCAATAATAGCCTAATCCTAAATTATTCTCTTCTAAACACAACATTAAACAAACATTTGTTTCCAATAGGCTATGTGATGAGGGAGAGTTGGGGCATGCTATGTCAATAATGCATACTTTATCGACAAACCTATTATTACAGTCCAATCCACACGCGTTAAAATGGCTGCAGCACCTTGAGTAATTAAGGTGCCCTTTGTTGTTCTGTAGTCGCTAATCTGGCTACTGTAAATGATAATCATTACTGGGGTCAGAGGGGAGAGGAGATAATGGATTCGTGGAGGGAAATTAGGTTGATGATAATTAACAATAGGCTATGCTGTAGATTAGTCGGAGTAATAGTGACCTTTTTGGTACCGTTTTTTAAGCACATATGCCTACGTAAATTAGAGTAGGACTATCAACAAATATTGTTAGGCTATACATTTTGTGACGATATGTTGTATATTATTTTAGACTATTATAGATAATATATTCGATCTTATATTATCTATAATAGTGTAGGCAATTATATCAGTTGTAATTCATGATTAAAACAGTATAGGTTTATAGGCTACTTTTATGTGCAGTAATGTCATCATCGACATTCTCAGTGTTGGGGAGTGTTGGGGAGTGCATTAACTGCATTTTACGGTAGCTTGGTGGTAGTTTAACTAAATTCAAATCAAGATAGTGTTTTCAGTAGTTAACTTTTTTGCCATGTAGCAGTATAACTAACTAGGCTACTAGAACTACACTACTTTTTTTGTTGTTGAAAAAATACAATTAAATATGGGTGAAGTAGGCAATAATTTCCTTTCTTTTTCGGCATCAGACCTGCCTAATTTCCACTTGAAACATAATGTTTGTGTTTAATAGGCTACATTACAAATTCTGGTAACATATGACCCTAAAGTGATCGGACCTTGCAATTTGTAGTCTATAACATTTCAGATTTACATATGATGATTTTCCCGAAGAAGTTTGGATGTGGTGAACTACTTTTTCAAAGTAACTTTAGTTAAGTAAACTATATTTTTCTTAAGTGTAGCTTTAGTGTAGCTTAACTTCTTCCAGTATAAAATATATTTTCAGAGTAGCTTCCCCAACATGGATATTCTACAATGCCCTCATTCACTGTTTACATTTTGGTTTCAAGGTTTGGTTTCAAAACAGAAGAGCAAAATGTCGAAAACAAGAAAACCAGATGCATAAAGGTAAATTCTATTTACTATCCATCTACTTGTATTTTTTATGATTTATGTTATGATGATTATTACACTTGTAATTTTACACTTGCTAAATTGTTTGCTAGTATGTTATATCGCGCATTTCTTACAATAATTATGTAGGCCTATGTTCCAGACTGTAAAGCTGATCTACTATCATGTGCATGTACTTTATTATGTTTGATTAATCACTTGCAAAATGTACAATGTCATCTTGTAACCTTTGACCAACCATATCAGCCTTATAATCAAACTTAACTGTCTCACTGTCTGACAGACACCTCTTCATACTTTCCAGGTGTCACTCTGGGCATTGCCAGTCATCTGGATGCCTGCAGAGTAGCTCCATATGTCAACATGGGAGCTCTACGGATGCCTTTTCAACAGGTATGTTGTTTTCTCTTTTTCATGAAATGAATCCTACGTGAAACATTTACTGATGAAATGCAGGCATGCAAGTGAGTGATTGTGCATAAGCAAAAGTTAATATTCAAAATCCATTAACCTCTAAAAGTCTAAGCCATTGGGGGGGGGGGGGGGGGGGGGGGGGTTCTAATATGGAATTGTTTAAGAAGGTCATTTTGAATTTTAGGACCACTTTAGGTATATAAAAACAAATATTTGATAAAATATTGAATTTGAACTTTACTACTATAGCCTTAGAAACACATTGAATAACACATTCATAAATGGCAAAAAAGACAGTAAAAAAATAAATCATAAGGAATAAGGTTTGGAAGTGTCTGTCCTATATCTAGGAGATATAAGAAAACTCAGGAAATATTTGTGTTTTTTTGGACACATATTTAACCCCTTATTTTTGTTGGCACAAAACTACCTCCATCCTTCCATTAATTTGTATGGGTTACCTTCAGACGAGTCCCGTGACACTTGTGGGGGTCGTAGAGCAAAACGGAGAATACCATCGTGTTCGTGAGAGTCTCCCCTTTCTGCTACAGACGTTTTCAGGATGTGTCATGGTCTGACAAACACCGCTGTAGCTCGGCCACCTATCACCGCTGATGCGGATGGCCAACATAGGCGGATGTGGTGGATTGAGACGCAGCCCATGCAAAAACCAGATATCTCTAGCTTAAACTGACAGATTTTGATGGGGATTTGGATTATTATGTTACTTAGATTGAAGCATGGGTGCGTCAATAGACTTTTAAGGAGCTTAACTGACAAAAAAGCTATAGTTTCTAAATGTGTTAGCATGGTTGAATGGTTTGATGCAGTCATAAAAATGTACCCTACTTTTCCAGCTCTTTTAGTCTCTTAGAAGGTATAGTTGATATTAATCCCCAAAATATAAACAACCATACTTCTCAATCATCTCTGAATCTGAGAGAGATATTGGAGAGAGGTGCATATGCCCTTATTATGCTAAAATTAGACACCTATCGTCCGAGGTTGTAGTTTACAAAGGCTGTGGTGATTGAGAACTCTATGGAGCTGGAGGGCGGTGTGTGAGAGTCAACTCAACCCCGAAGCACCTTTCACCTTTGGGGTGCGTTAAGAGCGGATGTGTGTGTGTGTGTGTGTGTGTTTGTGTTTGTTGGAGAGACATTTGATCTGGTGAGGTCTGTTTTTGCGGCCTGGCCGTTGGGTTGTCTGTTCACCCCTGTGAAAAGCTTGGGCCTAATTAAGCCAACACTGCGGCAATGCAAGCACATAAAAGAGATGATGAAAGCAGCGACTGGAGAAGGCTCTGATGGATATTGGTGGTGAGCTGCATTGGCAGGGAGGGAGGCATGAGGCCTGCATACTGAGAGAAGAGCACTACCTCTACAGGCCTGAGACAGAAAGGCACTGGGCTGGCTGTAACACACTTATGCAAGCACACATGTACCCCTGCATGTATACACACGTACACATGTTCACACAAATGCACAGGCATTCACACGTGCACACACACAGATACACACACACACAAATATTGACCACCTGTTGTGCCGGGGACTGGGTAGCGCCTGTAGCAGCTCATGCCCAGTTCCATTTCACTGATCCTTCCAGCAAACTTAACAACAACACGCTGAGAGATTCCTTCTCAAAGAGGGGTTCCCTTCTGTGTTTCACTGACAGTCTGCATTCATACATTTGGAACAAGGCTCTTTGTTTGAGTGTTAACTGTGCCTTATGAAAGTCAGTATCCATGCATCTGGAATCAGGCCTATTCTTTGAGTGTTTGGTAACAGTGACAGTTGGTGAGAAAGACAATATGGAGGAAGGCCTACTGGGCATTTATGCATTGGCTTGTGTCTGTGGCTCGTGTCAATGCAATGCAGTGCAAGTACAAAAACTGGTCAGCAATACGTAATGAAATACCGTCCAAGAAAGCATATTTTGCGGTTTATTTTAATTCTCTCTCGCAGTTAAACAACTTTAATTTCAGTCATTTTCCATGTTATTGGCTATGTCGAAATAGCGCCACATTTTAAATTGGTTGAAACATTTAGCTCTATCTTAAAACGTTTACCATGCGTCGCTTAAATGAAGTTTTATTTGGGTTGGATGAGAAAGCATGAGGCTCTTCACTTATGTCCGTGCTTCCTGTGGCATTTGAAACGCATGAGAAATGGCAAGAGGCAACGTAGCTCTCCCTCTGAAGTACAGGGATTTCTAATTTTCACCTACTCCTCATAAAATAATTGCCAAGAATGTGCAAACGGATACTCTATGGTCCTTATGACTTTGGCTTTCCCTTTGCTCAGGAATATGTCTGGATAAATATTTATAACTCTAAATACGTTAATATTTTTTGGGTGAATTTGTATTTATTTATGCAATTGAATCCATAATCAGGATAACAAGACGTTGCATATTTCCAAGGGTATGAAGGAGTTCTCACTGTGAATTAAACAAATCTGTTCAGGGTCTTAGAAAGACTTTGATTTCTAAGCTGTTAAACTGGACGTGGTGTCTGTGAAGTTATGTATGATTCATTAACTTTAAGAATAGCTGACATGAAAAAAGGGGAAAGGCTCAGAGTGCAGTTCCTAACTTTGTTCTTAGAAAACACACAGTAAGCAACAGCTTTGAGGGTAGAACTTGAAGAGGAATTTAATAGTGTCAAACAGTGAAACCTAAACCCTTGGCTCGCCTCTCACACATGCACACACACACACACACACACACACACACACACACACACACACACAGCCTGAGGGGCTGGGAGGGACTCACTAACCTAGGGTTTGTTTTTGGTTGTCTGGCAGGTCCAGGCCCAGCTCCAGTTGGAGGGCGTGGCTCACTCCCACCATCACCTGCACCCTCACCTGGCGGCGCATGCGCCCTACCTGATGTTCCCACCCCCACCCTTCGGACTACCAATCGCCTCTCTCGCGGACTCAGCCTCTGCAGCGGCGGCCGTGGCGGCGGCTGCCAAGAGCAACAGCAAGAATTCTAGCATCGCTGACCTCCGACTCAAGGCAAGAAAACATGCCGAGGCACTGGGTCTCTGACCCCACCGGGCTTCCCCTCTGCTCGCCCCACGCCCTCATAATCACCTGCTTCTCATACAAGACTGAGCCCTGTGATCGGGTCTGACACTTACAGCTTAAACAAAACAACATTAAAAAAAAAAACACTGAGAGGGAGAATGAAAGAAAGAGACAGAGAGAGAGAAAAAGAGGGACACAGAGGGAGAGGGAGATGGGGAGAGGATGAGTGGAGGAAGAAGAGGAGGAGAAAGAAGGAGGGGAGCAAGAAAATTGTCACAAAACCAGCTGCCAAAACAACCATTTGTAGAGAGAACGGTAATTAAATACCAATGAAATCACCTTTTACTTTTCGCCCAACAGGCAGGACTTCTGAGGGGCCAGTGGCTCAGTCCACTCCAGGCACACATCACAAGTCCAGGACCGTACAAACACATGTGGATGTCTGTCTGAGCCGAGGGCCAGGGCCGGGCCAGGCCAGACCGGGAGACTTTAGAACAAAGCAAACTGGCAAAGCAGGCAAGCAGGGCCAAATACTAGAGCCTCACTGATGCCGATGCCGTCACGTTGACTTTACAGACTATTGTGTGTATGGGAAAAGACACTGACACCACAAGGCATCGGACCCACTCTAACCTTTACACTCAAAAAAGACAAAGAAAAAAATAAAGAAAAAGAGAAAAGAAATGGCCATATTCTCTGTGTAACCACTGTGTTTTTTCCCGCCGCTGCCCAGTGCATGAGTTCTATTGGAGGACTGCAGGCCTATCATGGAGCCTGGCCATGTTATATCTGACCTAACACCCCAACTCTGTTGTATCACTGCCATTCAAACTGCCCACTATATATACCCTCATCCACAAAGTCAAAAGTCATTGGGGTTTGATTTCCTTTAAACTGTGGACTGACAGGAAGAGCCTAATCGAATCCCTTACTTTTCTGCTTTTGGAGGATGGAGAGTGTACATGTGTTTTGCTGGGAATGTGTCCAAAATACATTTTTTTGCTTTTCTCCTCACATTGTTCTCTCTCTCTTGCTTTCTTTCTTTCTGTTTATCGTGCTGTTTCTTGGGAATAGAAGTGAAGATATTCTTTGCACTTCAGGTCTTGTATGTGGGCGTTTATAAACAGCACTACAAGCAGATACTACTTTACTAAATGAGGGTGGGAAAAGGAACTGATTTGGGTTTTATCATGTCATCAAAATGAGACGTTCACGAAACGTTTAGAAGGATAAAGGGTATAACTGCAATTTTTTGTAATTTTGAAAATATGAAGAATCATCAGTTAAACTGAAATGCAATTGTGCGCAGTTTAAGTGCAATACTGTAAATATGAAGAAGAAAAAAGAGAGAAAAAAAGCAGTTAATTGATAGAGATAAACAAACGATTTTCAGTCATTTGTTTCAGGCACTGATAAATCAGTGTGTTGAATTTCTTCGCCAAACAGACCCGTTCTTTCTAAAGCATTGTATATTATGTTATGTTGCGAACTCATCCTCAATCATGTGTCATAACCCCAGAAATTCAATGGTTTTCAAACATAGTTTTGTACACATCAGGAAACTATAATAACTTGTTGAGGTAGACATGAGCATCTGTGTTTGATGCTGAAATTAATAACTGATACTAGGATCTGAAATAATTTATCATAATCTATTGTATTGACATGGGACAAAGCATTATGTCAAATTCCACCAAAGATTCTAACAAATGTTACAAGTTATGTTATAGGAACAACAAAAGCATGGCAGTGTTCTAGAGACGGGTTTAGTTTTTGTTAGGCCTGTACATGTTAAACTTGCATTTATTTGCATTTTCATGTTTTAACTATCAAAGTAAGTCAGATTATATCTACAACCTAAATAAATAATGCCTACCAGCAAGTATAATATTTGGAACATTTGCAAATTCAAAGGGTATTGCTTTGGAAATGTTTTGTGTCATTGAGAAACAGATCTCAATGTCAATAATGCCTCTGAGTCTGTAGATCGTAGTAAGGTCTACCTCAAACAATGTTTTACCAACACTTTCTCTGTTCTCAAACCACCATTTACAGTTGTTAAGCAATGTCTCCATTTTAAATTAAACATATGGGTGCTTTTATTTATTATTTTTGTCTGAAAGTTTATACAATTATAAAATAGTTGAAATACAAGTGTACATTTTCACATGGCTTTGCATTTATTTTTATATGTTTTTTAAATGTTACATTTGCAATGGGAGATGTGTGGCTGTTGTGCATTGTTCGCCTAAAATGTAGCGTGTCAGCGTTTACAAACATTTCAGGGATGGTTGAATTTGATTAAGCTCTATGGAATTTGTTGTACCCACCACAAGTATTATAATTTCATATGCAAGCATGCCTAAACATGATTCACTATACAGTTTGTATTTTTTTCCTTTTGATTCACAAAATATGAATGTACAAGTAAACTATCAATAAAGTTATAAATATTTGTACTGAAGTTTTAAGATACTTTAACAACTCCTTTCAAGACTAATCAAAACAATATTTATTTATTTATTTATTTATGTATTGTTCTGTGAGGGATTTTGGGCCATAGAATGGTAACATTTATCATTTTAGTTTTTAGTCATTTATTAGATTCTCATATATTGAGTGAATTATAGGCCTAATCCTACAAGAGGCTAAACAACATATTCAACCGAGACATTATTATCGTCATCAAAACATTCCGGAAGTGAATACCGTAGTACACATTAATAGTGAATTGTGTGCCAGATCCCCTGACTTCAAGCATTAGGCAGGTAATTTATGAGCTGATGTAGATTAATGCTGTACTTACATTGTGACAGGTTGCAGCCGATGCTCAGCGGTTATCTCAGGTCGAACCTACCGATAAATATCAATAACATTCCGCCTGTGACATTTACGCAGTTTCCATGTCAGCCATCAGAGCTCATCAGATACCAATCTTAGCCCACGCTAGCAGAGAAAATTGAGCTGCTATGAAATCCAGATGCACGCTGGCACCATTGCCCTGAATATGGAACGAACATGTATAAAGCCCTCCGTTCAACTGATAGAGATAGTACTGAGATGGAACGTGAAACTGTAACTTCGTCAAATAAAAGCAAGATGTCTGTAATAGGAGTAAGAGTGAGGTTGCAGAAGGATAATAGGAAAGTAATTGAGAGCAATGACATTGGAAGGATATTTTAGGGACATGTAATCCTTCTGGTTTGAGCAAGCGGTTTTATTTCCAAAAAGCAATCTTCCTCCTCGTCTCAATGGCAATGATTAACTTTGAACAGATCTCATGAGAAGGTCAATAGTCAAGTCCATATGTATACATACATCTGCATCTAGAAAGATTATAGCCCTTAGCTCCCCACCATTTCCCCACCTTCCACTTGTTTCACCGGCACATACTACATTTTGCACGTTCATAATGGTCGGCCTCTTTTTTCAAGTGCATTAACTTCCTCTGGGAATCCCAAATCCAGATGTGTGTACACAAAGTAATTACAGCATGTGGTATAGTGCTTTATTGTCTGAACCCCATGCAGGAATTAGCCCAAATGGCGTCCTGTTGTGCCCAGTACCCCATAGAAGGTCGCTGCACATTTAATTTGTACCTCTGTGCTCATACATCAAGATTGAGTGATATAGTTGCAGACTGATCGGCCCAGATTTACTCACTGACCTCTCTGGCTGGGGCCTGCTGGGCCAGGCTTGGAAATAACAGCATCCTTTTATGTGTACTAATAATTAGCTAGGCACACACAGCCATCCATCAACCAGCAATGAGCCATGGCTGCTTTGTCAACATGTACAGGCACATAAAGCTGTCTATGTTGGCTACAAGTCACAAATAAAATAATAATAAAGGGGTAGGGTGTGTGTGTGTGTGTGTGTGTGTGTGTTTGTGTGTGTGTGTGTGTGTGTGGGGGGGATCTAATGTCTAGGTTGTGCAACGTGTTACATTTAAGCAATTTTAGAGGGTATTACAAATGGATGGACCGCTGATGTCCTTCCCTTCTTTTGTATTGTACTGTTAGCATGAAGCTTTTGAGATGTACATAAAATGTGTTATTCAAATAGAAAGGTATTAATCTTTATGTAATGAATAACAATGACCCATTTCTTAAATTATTGTGACCTACTTCAAGTATATTATGGGAATCGTATCTAAAAGAACAAAAGCATACTTGTGCCTGCTTCTATAATAGAAGTTGCTTAATGATTGGGTGCTCTGAAATCATTGGGATGAACCAACAATAATATTCTGAACATTCACGGGCCGCCCACATTAACGTTTCCCTTCCAGAAAATGTTCACAAGCTTTCTCACTGTGCCAGGGCTCAGCTCCTGTAAGAGAGGGAACCCTGAACACCCGAGGCCTAGAGCTTTTAGCTACAGAGCTACACTATACGCTAGCTACCTTATGAGAGGTCAAGTGCTCAGGGGTCACATGAAAATAGTTTTGATCACATTTAATTCTCATAATCCTCTTGTGAATGTCATACACAACTATGGTCTGTGCTACCAGGGATCCTTGGGACGTCCCTACCACATTGATGTTGAAATTTAAAATGGTTAAGGTAAGGGTTAATGTTAGGGTTAGGTAAGGGTTATGGTTATGGTTAAGTTTAGGGTTAGGGTAAGGACAGGGGTTAAGGTTAGGGTTTAGGGTAGGGACGTCCCAATGATCCCGGATAGCACTGACCACACAACTATGGTCAGACGGAATGTGTGCTCATGCTCTCTGTGGGTTGCCAGTGCAGTTGCAGTGGCATAAATTGAGACAACTTAGTCTAGATAAGCTCAACATGAAAGACAGCCAAACATAGTTCCTGCTATGCTACCAGTGGTGTGGTGGAGGGTAAACTCACGTACTCTCTGTTTGCGCACCTTTTTTACCCAAATGTTGCTGAAAAATGCAGTGAAAGTATATAGAGAGTTACCTTACTCATCGCAAACTGCAATCAACATTTACCCACCTATTTATTCCCCACTACATCACTGTATGCTACTGGATACCTAGATACAGTTTTTATATTTATACTTTAAAAAAAAACATATGCTTTCCAAGGTGTTCATTCACTTTCAATCAAGTAAAAAATAAAAACCTTCTTTATATTTTCTCATGGTGTTTCTAACAACTACCGTTTCCCAGAGCTAAATAGTCTATACATCTTGAGTCACACCAAAAGAGAATCAAAGTAAATCAAATTATTTTCTTGGTTTGTGGAGAGACTCAATATTTGACTCTTTGTTCTGAGTGAATCCCATTTCGTCGCTGTTCATTTGGCTCTAAGAACTTAGAGAACCAACCACCAGTGAAACCTCAGCTGAAAATGATTGAGGTAAAGTGTTGAAGTCACTATGGCCTCCTATGGATCAAAGGCCGTCTCTCAGCCCAGTTTGTTTTGGTTCAGCTTTGGTTTGCTTTGTTGGCTAATACTTATAAATGTATCTGGAGTCAACAACAGTGCAAAACTATATTAAAACTAACATCTTATGACTAGGTCAACATTTTTATCTTCACAGCGTGGACGAAAGTGGCAAGAATGTCAGTTTTTCTTTTAGGTTTTTTAAAGGCCCAGTGCAGTCAAAAACGTGATCTTCCTGTGTTTTATATATATATTTACACACTGTAAGGTTGGAATAATACTGTGAAATTGTGAAAATATGATAATGCCCTCTTAGTGTAAGAGCTGTTTGAAAGGACTGCCTGAAATTTCAGCCTGTTTTGGTGGGATGGAGCTTTGGCCTGCCTGGTGACATCACCAGGTGGTAAATTAGTAAATAATAATAATAATTTATTCAACTTTTATAGTGCTTTTCATTACATAAAGAATCTCAAAGAGCTTTAAAGCAATACAAAAAAGACAAGCAATTTAGAAAACAACAACATCATTCAAGAGATGGAAGGTCATGAGAGGGTCGTAAAGTTCATAGCTTGAGTGGTCATCGGAGGGAGTTGGTCAAAGGGGGAGAGCAAGCAAAGATCGTCTCTGGAGCAAATCAGGGGGCAGGCAGGCAGCACTGTGTCATTAAAGTGTCTTGCCGTCCTTACCGTAAAAATAGACCAATAAGAAAGAGCGTTCCAAACCTCTCTGCCAATAACAGCTAGTTTACAGTTTTCCCCTCCCCACTCACAGACAGTCCTAGCAAAATTCATGCTTGAGAAATTGCTCTTTGCTAAGAAGCTATTTTTGTTTCTTTTTGACCATTTTAATTGAAAACAATCACAGTAAGGTTCTTAATTGTTACCCAGAAATTGTTTGATATTGAGAGCAATTGGCTCCATTGGACCTTTAAGCAAATATTCAGCTTCTTTCATGTTATTCATTGCTCAACTCATGAAATTATATAGTTATTTGTCATGCAAATAATTTCATCTATAAACAACAAAATGTAACACTATTCTAAATGGACCTAAATATATATGTTTTGGCAAACATGAAAAGAGATTCTTAGAAAAGGAGAAGTAAAATTGTTTGATGAAGTTACAGTATATGTCACCTCAAATGACTCTTCCATGCAAAGTGCTCAATGTACTTACAACCAGAAGTAATGAAGGTGCTTCTGAAAACAATAGAAAATGGTAGATAGCAAAGCATACAAAGCTGACTAAACCTTTGACATCCCACTACATCCTACTACATCCAACATAAACTGTTTTAAAATCACTGTACATAATTCTACTTCAAGTAAAAGCGTTCTAGTTCTAATGTAAGTGTTCCTGATCTAGTATGAACATTCTAGTTTTAGCATGGGCAGTCTAGGTCTATAGTTCTACTAGTCTAGAGAGAGTACATATTAGATCTCTCTGGGGATGTTGTAGTAGCTTAGTCCTGTGAGATTATTTTACCGGCTGGGATCAGTGTCTGACAAAGTTCACAGATCAGGTCTCTCTGCTCCCTACATCTATCTCCCTCTGTTGGAAGTCAGCAGTCAGGAGGCGTTTAACTGGGATATCCTAGCATTGGCCATGTACGGAATCCATATTAGGAACATTGTCATTGCTGGATTCCGTACCAATGGAATAGTGTCCACTCTGCTGCTGATCACATCTCAACCAAAACATCTCCATGACTCATTTATATTGAGTGGTTCTTATTCATCCTTAAATAATATATTGCAAACAGGGATACACAACAGTTTAACAGAGCTCTATTCTTCTGTTTAAAAAATATATACAGTACCAGTCAAAAGTTTGGACACACCTACTCATTCAAGGGTTTTTCTTAATGTCTTCTATTTTCTACATTGTAGAATAATAGTGGAAACATCAAAACTATGAAATAACACATATGGAATCATTTCGTAACCAGAACAGTGTTAAACAAATCAAATATATATTTTATATTTGAGATTCTTCAAATAGCCACCCTTGATGACAGCTTTGCACACTCTTGGCATTCTCTCAACCAGCTTCACCTGGAATGCTTTTCAAACAGTCTTGAAGGTGTTC